TAGGAGTGGTTAAAATTTTGCTAGAACATAAGCGCGACATTATTAATGCTAAAGATAATGGTGGTAAAACAGCATTATATGTGGCCACGGAGAAAAGGCACTCAGAAATAGTTAAATATTTACTGAAAATAGAAGCTGGAACTGATGAAGATTTTAACAATTATCTTTATTTTGCTGCTAAAAAAAATTACGATTCTGTTGTTAAGTTACTATTGGAAGAAGAAACAACTAGTGAAATGGCATTACATCATATTGCAAGAAAAGAGGATATTAAGATTATTAAATTTTTGCTAGAGCATGGAGCAAATTTTGACAATATTATTGATAAGAGTGGCAGAACACCACTTCACTGGGCTGCATTTGAATGTGATGAAAATACTGTAAGATATTTGATAGAAAAAAATTGTAAATCAATTAATGCTATTGACCAAAATAATGAAACGGCATTATATGAGGCTGTGTGGAATGGGCACACAAAGATTGTAGAAATTTTACTGGATCAGGGCGCAAATATTAATCATAAAAATACCAAAGGCTGGAAACCATTACATGTAGCTGCAATTTCTTGTCAGGTTGAAGTTTTTAAGCTTTTAAGTAAAAGAGACAAAGCAGCAGTTGATCTTCAACTAAGTAATTTTTTTGAACATGATCTTCAATTAAATAATTATTCCAAATTCAAACTTTACAATTCTACATTAAGGCTAATTAAGAAATTTCAAAATTTAGAAATTCAATTTGAACTAAAAGATAATAGTGATATTGATTTTCTTTCATTATATCAGCATTTTTTAAATTTTATTGAAAATTTTGTTAAATATTTTGGTGATGAAAAAGATAAAAGAGCACTTAGTTATCTATATACATGTGCTCTTAGTAAGATTTATAATCTCAAATTTGACTCAAAGTCTAATTTAATAATTGATATAAATGGATACTTTAACATGATAGAAAAACATATTGAATTATTGAAAGATGAAGAAATGAAACGCAAAACACATGAATTTAAAGAGGAAATTAGAATAAAAGTTACGGAGGCTTACAATACCGTTAATAAGCAAATTAAAAATGAAATAGATAATATTGTCAATGAAATAAATAAAAAAATAGATTTATTGCTTGATGAGACAAAAAAAATAATAGAAAATGTAGAAGAAAACAAGTTGACTTTAGAAGAAAAACAGAGCGAATTAAAGAATAAATTAGTATTAAGGCAAACATTAGGAATTTTAAAAATCATAGGCCAAACAATAAGTGTTGCTGGTGGTCCTATCGGAGTGGCTGGTGATGTAATAAAAGGAGGTGTTAATATAGCTGAAGCCTTTATTTCAGAAAAAAACAATAGTGAACCAATTTTTACAATTCCTTCAGATATAAAAGATTCATTAAGCAACATGAAAAAAATAATTGAAGATAAAGAAATCAAAAAACATGAGATAAAAATTGCAGAACAACAGCTAAAAAATTTATCACAAGAATGTGACAAGTATCCAGATTTGGTTAATATTGATATAAAGAAAAATTTAAATGCAATTCAGAACGCATTAAGTAATGTTGATTCTACCGAAGTAGTAAAGAAAATTAAGGATGAATTAGAACAAACACAGAAAAAGTTAGTAGAATTAAAAAACAATGAAAATGCTACTGTCAGTCAAAGAACAGAAGCTGAATTAGAAGTAGTACAGAAACTTAATACTGCAATTAATACTACCGAAATGGTAATCGAGTTATATGATAAATATAAAAAAGATAAAGAAGAACTTGATATATTAAGTAGCTCAATTGATCAAGCAAAAGATGATATCAACAAATTAAAACAATACGAAGAGAATATTAACAAAGCTATCATTCCTATGCTTCAAAGAATGCAAGACAATATTAATAATATAGAAAATGAAATAGATCAAAAATCACACGTTTTTCTTGATCTAACTAAATGGCAAGTGCAATCTTCATTAAAAGATATCAAATATGAAATTCGGCAGATCTCTAAAGGGTTCGAAATACAAGATGATGTAATCCATTACATGGAAAAGTTAGATGAAGGAATAACTACACTTATTAATATATATGATCGTATACAAGACTATTATGATCAAGCAAAACTTGCTAATTATATTGCACATATTCATTCCCCGATAACTACTGAAATAGAGAATGAAGAACTAAACATGGTTATTAATGAATTAAAACGAAAAATAAGAACCAATATTATATTAGGCCATTTTAAAAAAGCTACAAGTGCATTCAAGCAATGGATATTTCCATTTGCAAAGACGTATTCAGGTGTTTTGCATTCATTATCAGATGATAACGATGAGAACATTGATAACATTGGACAGCGAATAAAAGAACTACATTCGAAAGTTCAAGAACGCAATATAAATACTAATGATGATGATATTTCTCTGATGCATACTGACTTTAACAGTGAAAATAAAACATCTCGACCATTTTTTGTGTGGGAAAATAATAAATATAGCCAACAAATATCACAGTTGTTAAATGGAGAGACAGTAACTATAAAGGCAGATATAATGAAAGGCGACCCTAATAAAACTGCAATTAAATTTAATGAGATAGGTATTAAATTCAAATCAGTAGATGAGACAATACAAGATGATATCGATCGTGAGCTTGAATATTTTGATGTTGAAATGGTTCATTTAGGCAACTCATATTATAGATATGGAAATAAGTACTACATGATAATAAATGATAAACAAGTTATTGAGTATAGTTTTGAAAAAACGAAGGATGACAGAAGCAATCCACTTAGAAGAAATAACGTATATGATAAAATTAAGAAGGGAGAGCTAATGCTTAGCCCCTATACTATGTGGAAAATAAAACTTGAACCTCATGGTAGTGATTTTAGTAAACTGAAAGAATACGAAAAAAAAGTAAACTTGGAGTTAGTAGGGCATGGAAAGTTTATAAAGGGTAGGACATCTAGCAGCGATTCGAGTCTCATGGTAGAAAATTACTACAAAGAATATGAAGTCGATCTTTTTAAATGAATTTATAAATATTGAAATTTAAGCATATCGATACCGATACTGTATCCATACAATAAAACTTATCGTTTGTGGAACAATGCATGCGCATAATCTGGCAAGACCGAAATGTGCGACAGGTTACAACTAATTGATTAATATCGGCACATATTAAATAGGTTTTAATGTCAGGGTTAGATTGGGAAGAGCTAAAGAGAGGATTTAGACAAAACCTATACCAAATTTATGAGTAGAATCTTTTTCTTAGAGCACCAAGAGCGATTTTATAAGCAAAATTTTGAAGTAGAAAAATTTTTTTCTTAACAACCTCAGAACATATGTATATTATCAATTATTTGTGAATTAATCATAAATCATGTGAACAAACCAAATAAACCGAAAATTTGTGTAATATACATCTACAGTAATAAATTATTCGAAATACACTTTAATAGGTTTTTTTCATCAACTTTAGTGCAGTTCTTCAATTGAATATGTCAGACTTTAATGATGACGATAATACATACATGTATTATTTACTCTCCTTCAATTGAGTAATAAAGAAATTAAATCTATTACCAACAGTAAATTATCCAATATCTTTTTAAGCAATTACCGCAACGAACATCTGCACTAATCCATTATAATAGAAAATAACCTTAATGCATATAACGAATATAAAAAATTTTAATTACCAAGGCAAATCGTCACATTGATTAAAATAACATTTCAGTTAAATTATTTGAGGATAACATGTCGCAATTGATCGTACTGGTCCTGCGTGGCATCACATGTCGCGCAGCTACCCTAATGTTTATAGCATTAGTAGGAGTGCATCTATGTGCCCCCCAAACCAGCTCCAAAACCGGTTTGAAATGCATGCCGATCGCTCCTAATTTAGTACGTTGAGTAACTATCTAAACGAACATTCAAGGTAAATTAATTTATTTTTTATACTTTTCACGA